CCAGAGCCACCTTCCCCAGCACTGTCCTCATCGCTGCTGTCCTCCACAAAAGCTCGGAAGCTGCACACGCCAAAGAACATGACTTCAGCAGTGGGGCATGACCAGCCCAGAGCTCTGAGACCCTCAGAGTGACATTGTGGCAGCAGATGTTCTGTCCCCACCGACACCAGCTCACCTTTCCTTCAGCTGTTTCTGTTCTTCTACATAACTCTTGCTTGATGTTTCCTGCAGGGAAGGGATTGGTGTAGGACCCAGAACAGCCCTGAGCCCTCATGCCCTCAGGAAGCTGCTGTTCTACCCACCTTAAGCCTGTGGTCAAAGGTCTCCCCATCAGAGCTGTCCTCGTCGACATATTTGCTGTGGAGAACACAGTGCAGACATGAGAATGCTGTGTGGACAGTCGCTCAACCACAGTATCTTGCCTTTAAAAAATGGGTCATTGGGCATTACTGTCTATTTAGTATTTATATTTCCCAGAAGATTTTTTATTTGTGTATATATGTAATGTGTACATGTGAGTATGTATGTAATGCGTGTGTATGTGTTTATATGCCACATGTGTGGATACTTGTAAAGGCCGGAAGAGGGTGCTGGGTCCCCTGGAATTCCAAGGGGATCTGGGAGCTGGAATTCCGGACAGATGGTAGCCACCTGGTATGGGTGCTAGGAATTGAACTTGTGTCCTTTGGAAGAGCAGCAAGCACTCTTAGCTGCGGAGTCACCTCTCCAGCTTTTAAAAACATTAGAAATATTTTATCTTCCATCATGTGTATGTGTGGGCGGGTGGGTTTGTGTGCCTAAGCGCAGTGCCTATGGAAGACAGAAGGATAGCGTCCCTAGAGTTACAGATGGTTGTGACCTGCCTGACCTGGGTGTAGGAACCAAATTCTGATCTTCCGGAAAAGCAACAGAACTCTAAGCACTTAGCCATCTCTCTAGCCTGAGGTTAATACAATTACATTTTATTTCTTGCCTGTTTACATAAACTTATGTGCGCATGCCACAGTGTGCATGTGGAAGTTAGTTCTCTCTTTCTGTCACTTGAGTCCCAGGGACTGAAGCCAGCGAGGCAGGCTCGCCAACAAGCGCCACTCCCTGGTAACCCCCCACAGGCCTCGGGTTTGTGTGGGTCACCACATGGCAGAGGTTGTCCCACTCTCTTCTTCCTGCTCTGACCTTAGAGTTCTTAGATTACAGATGAGTGCCTCCATGTTTGGCCTCAGTCATCAGTGATCCCTCACTGCAATGAGTTTATCAGCACAGCTACACATACACTCCCTACGGCCTGCCTGTCCCAGGCCCCATGGGGTGGGGCGCCGCTATGTGCTTCCGGTGGGAAGCGCCTAAGTCTGCAGCCATGATTAGAGGCTCTGCTCCCAGGGTTCCCTTACTGTGTAGGTTCGGGCTTTTCGTCATCTCCCTAACTCCCCTCCCTTTTTTTTTTTTTCCTTTTTCTTTCTTTATTTGAGACAGGGTCTCACTATGCAGCCCTGGCTGGTCTGGTTTAGAGACCAGGCTGTTATCAAACTAACAGAAATCAGCTTGCCTCTGCCTCCCAAGGCCTGAGATATAGGCTGATGCCATCATTCCTGGCTATCTTGTGTTTTTCTACCTGTAAAACCCTAAATAATGGGCCATCAAGATGGCTCTGCCGAGAGGAGCATGTCCTGTGCAAGACAGAGGACTGGGTTCAAGACCTGCGGCCCATGTCAAGGTAGGAGAGAATGGCTACCAAAGCTGTCCTCTGACTTCCCTACACATGCTGTGGCATGGGCCCATGGCCTACCAGCCCACCTACCTATTCTTTCCCTATAACAGCAAACAGTAAAGGCTGGCAAGTTGGTTCAGCAGTAGACCTTAGGTTTGGGTTTTGTTGTGGTTTTTTTTGAAACAGGGTTTCTCTGTGTAACAAGCCCTGGCTCACTTTTGTAGACCAGGCTGGCACTGAACTCAGAAATCTGCCTGCCTCTGCTGGGATTAAAGGTGTGGGCCACTGAGCCCAGCTAGACCTAAGGTTTGGTCACTGGAATCCACATGGTGGAAGGGAAACAGAGTCCCAGAATTAATCTTCCAACTCTCACGTGTGCTGTGGCACCAGATCCCTGACAGTACATAAGTGAAACTAAGAGTGCTGCTGGGCAGGCTTGGGCAAACCTTTAATCCTAGTGCTTGGGAGGCAGAGGCGGCTCAGTCTGTGAGTTTAAGGCCAGTTTGGTCTACAGAGCGAGTTCCAGGGCAGCCAGAGCCATACAGCGAAAATCCTGTCTCAGAAACAGACAAACAGTCTCATAGTCTTTAGGGAGCTGGAGGCTGATGGGGGGGGGGGGAATGAGGCCCCTCCTTACCCTTCTTTTTCCAAGATGACCTTCCTCTCATAGTCCTTCAGGTACATGGGCTGCACCTTCTTCTGCTTCGAGCAGGCAGCTGGCTCCTCCTCACTCTCTGAGGATGAAGTGTTGGCTATCGGCAGAAAGACACCTGTTGTTGCCCTCAACTTCCCTCTTGCCCCGGCAGAGAATCCCACAGGGCAGGGCTGGAAGCAGACAGAAGTTCTGCTTTATTCATCTTTATTCCCCCATTTATTTTTCCAGGAACAGCGAGGATGATGTAGCCCACGCTATACTAAGCTCACTATGTATAAAAGAAACGAGCCCATCCACCACGCAGGCTGACTGGCATCCCGGCAGGGCCCCGATCTCCTGTCTCTGCTTCCCCAGCACTGCGATAATGGATGTGTGCACCCGCTGACTTCTTGGGATGAACTCAGGTCTTCCAGGCTTTGCATGGCAAATACTCTACCAACCCACCTATTCCCCAGCTCTCTTTTTGTTTTGTTTTGTTTTTTGTTTTTGACACAGAATCTCATTATGTACACAGGTCAGCCTGGCCATGAGCCCTGAGTGCTGGGATTATGGGCCACATATACTGCCACTCAGGTTTTCCATGAGACCCAGGGAGCGAAACAATCCATTCAACAATTCAATTCCATCAACTCTAAGGTACTTAGAGACGCAGCCCCCTCCATACCTGTTCTCTGATAGAAGGTAGCATCTTTCTGGTAAATTCGGGGGTCCTTCTTTTTCAGCAAGGACAAGGTTGTGTAAAAGTCTCTTTCCTGCTGGGGGTCAAATTCCTAGAGCATGAAAAGGAAGCAGGACTGACTTCTGAAGGAAGTCAGATACTGTGGTGTGAGTAGGGGCTGGGGAGGAGGACAGGATGAAGCAGGGACCAGCTGAGGATTAAGTCAGATGAATCGAGAAACAGGTGTTTGGGCAGGTGTGGCCAGGCAGAGGGTAAAAGAAGAGAGGAAAGAAGGGTACATCCTGAATAGGACAGAATGGGCAACACAGCAGATGACCTCAAAGTGCTCTTGGGTGGGCCACCAGGAGGCCCTAGCTACCTACAATGAAGCCATATCAGAGCGGCTGTGGGAACACAGTAGTGCCCCATCAGGCTTTTGGTTTTAGGAAATGGGAAGGGTGGTTTGTATGGGACAGGAGCGTTGGACCACTAATCAGGATGGCGAAGTACCCCATGGTGATGGAGGATAAGTGGAAGTTAAAGTAGGGGGGCTATGGCAGGCCCTACCTGACACTCAAGGGCTGGGGAGATGACTCAGAACTACTTCCGGGTTCTACTGGGTCAGGGGAAGATTCCCTCTGGGAACTGATGGGAAGCCTGGAGCCACTTCTGGAAAGAAGTGAGGAACTGGTGTCTTCAAAACGTGGGCAGGGTACTGCTTGTCCCTCAAGGGAGTAGTGTGCAGGCCCTGAATGTTCCTCTAGGGCCTTGCGTGATTAGAGTAAGGCGCTCTGTGCTGTTGGGGAAGAAGGCAACTCTCTAGGTGCAAGGAGAATGCTGCTTGTTACTCAAGGGATTGGGGTGCAGGACTTGGGAGGTACCTACTGGGCTGTATGGGGTTGGGTCAGACTCCCGCTGTGAATCTAAGTGCCGTGGGAGGCTTGAGGACCAGTTAAGAGAGTAGGAAGAGTTAGTGACCACTAGGAAGGGATTAGGAGGTAAATCTAGAACACCCCCTTTTGGTAAGGCAACCTTGTGCATCCAAGTGGGAGCTCAGTGGGTAGGAGGCTTGGGATCCCCTCCAGAAAGGAGGGTGTATTTGGCGATCCCTGAGTTGGGGAGGGTACTGCCTATCACTCAAAGCACGGGGGCGGGGGTTGAAGGCTCCCGACAACCAAGCCGGGTTAGGGAAAGCCCCGTGTACATCAGGGAAGGATGCGGGCCAGTCGCGGAAGCTTACCACATGCTCATCGCTGGAGTCAGACTCGGAGCTGGAGTCGCCGCCGTCGTCCGGATCCCCATAGCGATCCTTCACTGTGGGATACGAGGTTCCCCACAGCCGCTATCACCAAATGTCCCCCATCAGCTCCCCACACGCCGGCCCGCGCAGGCGCCCCTCACTCACGCTTCTGCAGTTCCTCACGCTCGCGGTAACGGCTGTAGCGCGCAGCAAAAGCTGCGTTCACCTTCAGGGACGCAGAAGCGCGCGGTTCCGGCATGGCGGCTGTGTGGCCTAGTGCGCACGCGTGCAAACGCGCCCTCCGGAGCGTATTCTCTCCTTAGGCACGCCCACTGAGGGCTTCTCTTAAAGGAGCAGGCCCGTCGCAGACGCGCCTCGCTCCTCCCAAAGCCTTCCGGGATCCGGTTGGCCTTTTGCTCAGCAGGCCACACCCACACAGACAAGCCTCTGCGGGGAAAGGCCACAAGCCACCGCCCACCCTCTCCACCCTGACAGCTCCCGGCACCCAGCTGACATCAGGGGGCCCCTTTCTCCACTCGTGGTTTCCTGCCTCCCTTCCGTTCCGACAGCACCCGACCGCTGCCCCACCCAGCTAAGTCACCCTGACGCCCTGGGAGTAATCGTGTTGCTCCTTCACCCCACAGCTCTTCCTACCAAGCCAACCCCAGTCTCATCCTCCCATGCCCTGGAATACCCCAGCCCAGACTCCCGAATCAGAAGTCACGCCTAAGTCTTAGTTTAATGGGCCAAAACATTAAATAATCACACAAAACAATTTCTTTCCGTAAAGCAATAAATATATATATTTTCAAACTCTGTACAACAGACTGGAAAACAAACGTCCAAGAAAAAAAGTGAACTCATGCTATCGTTTGAACTGATTGGCAGTGTTTTCCCTTCCCCCTCCCATGCCCAAAGTAGATGGCTCACACTTCAGGGCTCTCCGAGCACTGCCTGCCAAGGTCACCCGCTTCCCGGAGCCCAGGAGGTGGTGACCTCACTGAGGCTTTAAACCTCTGCCCTGAGGTCTTCTGTGCAGCCAGGGGGCAGAGGAAACTGAACCGTTTTGGTGGCTGCTGCTGGTAGGAGCCCCTTCTCTGTCCAACACACCAAAAAGGGGAGAGAAAAACAAATGAGAAACATCCCCCAAACACACACACACACACTCACTCAAGAAATCAACACCAGTAAACCACAAACTGCTCCTCCCACTCCCTTCTTCAATGGATGAGAGTGAAAAGAGAAAGTTTCTTTCCTCCTTTGTTGACAAGTAACCCAGTGAGGCTCCCTGGCTGGCGACAGTGGCCCTGGGTCACATTGGGATCATCATGTGCCCCTGGAGGATGTCCATGAGATTCTGAGCCCCTCTCTGCCGAGCCAACTCCAGCGGAGTGAGACCTGAAGCGTCCCTGTGGTGGAGATCAGATTCAGGGGCTAGGAAGCCGACCACGGAGCTATGGCCCTCTCGTATTGCCAGATGGATGGGGAGTGACCCGGAGCTGTCCACGGCATTGACATCAGCGCCGTGCTCCACCAGGACCTTCAGGGTGTCCAGGAACCCAGTGCGAGCTGCGTCATGCACTGGGCTGGTACCAGAGGCGTCCTGGACATTGGGGCTTGCACCTTGCTTCAGGAGTTCCAGAGCAACTGCTGGACTTCCAAACATCATGACCTATGGGGGTGTGGAGCAGAAAAAATCAGGTTCCCACTGGGGAAGGGTCGGGCAGAAAGAGGTCTACCACAAGTCCAGAGGGCCAGAGAAGGGGTTATTTGGTGAATGGGAACACCCCAGGAAAGAAAGGCCTCAGGAAGCTGTTTGGACTTCAGAGAACAGGTTCTTTGGAAATAAGGACCCCCACATTCCAAAGCGTGCTCTCTCTCTCTCTCTCTCTCTCTCTCGCTCTCTCTCTCTCTCCCTCCCTCCCCAAGACAGGTCTTCTTTCTAACTGTCCTGAACTCACTCTATAAAGCAGGCTGGTCTCAAACTCACAGAGATCCATCTGCCTCTGCCTCCTGAGTGCTGGGATTAGAGAAGGCCTGAGCCAAAACTGCCACCAACACACAGCCCAAAGCTCCCTTAACAAGACAAAAAGACTGGAACTAAAAAAGTGACTCTGCTGAACACCTTAGGGGACCAGGCATAGTGACCCATCCCTGTAATCCCAGCACCTCGGAGGCCAGGGTAGGAGAATAGTCTGGTATTTAAAGCCAGTCTGAGATACAAAGTGAGACTTTGTCTCTGGGAAAAAAAAAAAAAAAAAAAAAAAAGCAACGAAGAAGAAAGGGAAACACAGGCAATGGAAAGGAAGGGGAACCAGGAATGGAAGGAATGAACACTCTCAAGTCCAACAGCCTCTGTCAGGGACAGGGCACTCCCATATGGGAGATCACTGGGAGTTCGGAATCCCTCCAGCAAAGCAACCCCAGGTTCTGGGAACTACTTATAATTTTGAGAATCGAGATGCGCTAGCGAAGTTGGGTCCCCTTTGTCCAGGAATAACTTCCTTAAGCACAGGCATGATCTGAGTACCCACGAAAACATGGAACTCCCCTACAAATGCCACCCCAAATTATGAGGCCTTCAAGCAAGAGGGAATCAATCATTTTGTAACCCGGGCACCCAGAAGATTTAAAAAAAAAAAAAAAAAGAAGAAGAAGAAGAAGAAGAAAAGAAAGAAATCCACACCACCTGCAGAAAGGAAGACTGTCGTGTCCCCCCCCCCCCCACCAAAAAAGAGAAAAACCTTTAAAAGGGATCCCCCAAAAAAGAAAAAAAAAAAAAAAAAAAACCAAGACATCTATCCCACTTTCCTGAGATCGAGCGTCTTTTAAGAAGCCTCAAGAAGTGGTGAGCTGTCCTCAAGGACTGGCATGCAAAGAAGCTGAACCCCAACCCACCCACGGGATGAAACGTCCGCATAGAAACTGAATCTTCCAGGCTTTTTGACAAGGAATTCTTTAGCGCTGAAGAGCCATCCCCTCCCCCACCCCGCCCTCACCGCCCACCGACATCGGTGCGAACGAGGCTTAGTCCTCAGGGGACCAGCAACCCCGGCCGGGACCGGGGGGGCCGGCCAGGCCTCACCTGCAGGGCCGTCTTGCCAAAGCGGTTCAGGGCGTCAGGATGCACCAGCTCCCGGTGCAGAAGGCGGCGTACCTCCTGCACGTCGCCGCGGGCCGCCGCGCCACTCAGCCGGTCGCCGACGCACACTTCCTCCAGGAGCATAGTGGACGCGGGGGGTCTGTGAAGCCCACCCAGGCCCGGTTCAGATCAGGGCTGGGGGACCAGCAAGCGCACGACACCAACGCTCGGGGCCCCGTCCCCCGACGCTGCGGCGCCCCTGGGGCCTACGCCAACCGGCACTCCGCGGCCGCAGACCCCGCGCCCTCCGCGCCCACGACCCCCGCTCTCGCAGCCAGCTCCTCCCACTGTCACCCAGGGAGGTGGCGGGGAACCCCGCCCAGCCCTTGGGCGCCCGCCCCCTGGGCCGGGTCTCCCCAGACTCACCCTCCCTCCTCCTCTAGCGCGGGCGTGGTCTGCTCTGAGCCCGGCTACCCCGGCCGCCCGAGTCCGCCGCCGGCCGGCAAAGCCGCCCGCCGCAGGCTCCGCCCAGAGCGCACTTGTTTTCTTACAAACTCGCTACACTGTAGCGGGAGCCGCTCTGCCCAGCGTCCGACCTCCAGAGGTCCCGCCCACCAGGGACATCAGCCAATCAGCGTGCGTTGCCGGGGAGGTTTGGCTGGCCCGTCGGGGTGCCGCGGCTCCTGATTGGTCAGGGGGCGGCCACCGGCGGCGCTGCCCGCCACAGCAGGGTTTTTCGGTTTTTCAAACCCAACCGGCGGGCAGGCGGGAAAGAGAAGGAGCGTTTAACCGACCCCAGCGAAGAGGTTGGAGACAGGCCGGCGCGGACTGGTCCTGGGTCTTTAGCGCCTCCGGGAGGAAGGGAGGCCGGACTGGGAGCTCGCAGAACGGGAACGTTCTATTCTCTTCTGGACCACGGAAGTGCTAATAAGCTCCTACCGTGCGACGGGGAACTTAGCTCTTTCCTTCGACCGCCGTGTTAAAGGAATGGCTTCTGGGTGGTAACATTTCTGTTGTTTTAAATTTGAGACGGGGTCTCACTACTGTGTAGCCTTGGCTGTCCTGGAACCTCACGGTGTAGAGATCCGTCTGGACTCAAACCCAGACATCCACCTGCCTCTGCCGTCCGTGCTGGGATTAAAGGAGTGGCCTATCAAGCTGGTCTTTCCCCCACCCCACCCCCTTTTTTAATTTTTTAATTGATTGTTATTTTTATTTTTGAGAAAGGGTCTATGGTCGGGAAGATGGCTCAGCTGCCGGGAGCATTTGCTGCTCTTGTAGAGAGATCAAGGGTTTGGTTGCCAGCACCCAGTTGACACCTCTTGGCCGTCTCTAACTCCAGCTCCGGGGAACCAATCCTTTTCTGACCTCTGAGGGTACCTGTCCCAACATGGCACATACTGACAATCAAAAACCACATATTCGGGCCTGGAGAGATGGCTCAGCATTTGAGAGCACTGGCTGTTCTTCCAGATTGGACCTGGGTTCAGTTCCCAGCACTCACATGGCAGCTCACGACTGTTCCAGGGGATCTGCTCCTCACACAGACATGCATGTAGGCAAAACACCAATGCACATAAAATAAAATTTTTAAAAAGACCCACATATTCACATAATTTTAAGTTTTTTCCAAGACAGGGTCTTAAGTAGTAGCTCTGGCTGTCTGGAACTATGTAGGCCAGGCTGGCCTTGAACTTACAGAGATATGCCTGCCTCTGCCTTCAGAGTCTGGCAATTTTTTCTCTTAATGGGCATTGGTGTTTTGCCTGCATGTATGCCAGTGTGAGGGTGCCATATCTCCTGGAACTGGAGCTACAGATACTTGTGAGCTATCATGTGGGTGCTGGGAATTAAAACTAAGAACTGTGGAAGAGCAAGCAGCCAGTGCTCCTAACTGTTGAGCTGTCTCCCCCGGCAATTTCCTTTAGAAAAAAAAATTTTAAAGGGTTTCATGTAGCCCAGGCTGGCCTCCAATTCCATATGTAGCCAAGGATGACGCCTGGGCCTGCTGAGTGCCATTTCCAAGTGCTATTACAGGCTATGTAGCGTTGCAGATGGAACCCAGGGCTTTGTGAATGCTAGGAAATCATTCTACTGATTTATACCCACAGCCCTGTGACTTTTTTTTTTTTTTTTTTAAATTGAGGCAGGTCTCTTGTAGCCTAGGCAGGCCTCAGACTCCTGATCATCTTGCATCTCCCTTTTGAGTGCTGGGATTGCAGGTCTGTGCCACCATGTCTGGCTTAACTTTGGATAGCGGTAAGCGCCACACACAGAAATGGAGTAAAGCATGCTCGGAGGTGGTGGCGCACACCTTTGATCCCAGGGCTCAGGAGGCAGAGGCAGGTGGATCTTTGAATTTAATGCAAGCCTGGTCTACAGAGCGAGTTCCAGCACAGCCAGGGCTACACACACAGAGAAACCCTGCCTCAAAAAACAAAACAAACAAGGCTGGAGAGATGGCTCAGAGGTTAAGAACACTGTCAGCTCTTCCAGAGGTGCTGAGATCAATTCCCAGCAATTCTAGATGGTGGCTCACAACCATCTAGAATGAGATCTGATGCCTTCTTCTGGTGTGCAGGTGTACAGCAGACAGAATACTGTGTATATAATATATAAATAAATCTTAACAAAACAAAAAACACTCCCCCCCAATATAGACTAATGCTAGAAATTGTAGTTGAGCACAGGCTAGCTCAGGCTGAACAGAAAGTTGGCCTGATGTCTGCCATGTGGCTCTGGGAGGTGAGTCCTGCTAAGAAGCTTCTGAGGTGGGCATGAATGGAGCCCACAGACACAGCTCCTGAGGTAGCCTTTCAGTGAGCCCACAGACACACATAGTCTAGGCCAGGAGATGTGACTGCATTTTTTTCTTAGTAAAAGCTGTGGAGGTGATAAAGGAAGGCCATTAAACTATGTAATATTGGCACTCAGAGGAGTTTTGAGGCAGGGGGATTAAGTTGTAGGCCAGCCTGGCCTAGATAGCCAGTTTTCAAAGCTCTCAAACGTACTGCAAGTGTGGTGGTAGATATTTTTAGTCACAGCACTCGGAAGGCAGAGGCAGGTAAATCTCTGAGTTCAAGGCCCGTCTGGTCTACATTGTAAGTTCCAGGACAGCCAGGGCTACATAGCCAGGATCTGTCTAAAAAAAAACAGAAAAACAGGACAGAAGGCAAGACGTATCCATTAAGAGACATACTGCTCTTCCACAGGACCAAGCTCACAGCTGCCTGTGACGGCCGCATCACAAAAATCTGAGGCCTCTGGCCTCTGCAGGCACCCACACAGACCCGCGCACAGCCACATGCAGGTAATATGCACATATATATTGAAAAGTAATTAAAACACTTTTCTGAAGCCAGAAAAATTTTGGGATGATGTCAGTAATCTCAGCTCTTGGGAGTGGAGCCTTCATTGCTACTGGGCAAGTGTGAAATTAGCCTGTATTACAAGAGAGCTCTCAGAACTAAAGACAAAACCACAGAAAACAGGCGGTCATGGGGCCTCACACCTCTAATCCACCCACAAGGGTAGGCACGTGCAAGAAGAGTGCTGAAAGTTAGAAGACAGCCAGGTCCTGTCTTTCTATACCATCAAATAGAGAGTCAGCTTCCTGTTTTATATAGGGCTGCTGCACGTACAAAGGCCCTGAGGTTTGAAAGTGTCTGGTTCGAGATAGAAAGGGGAGACGGGAGTCCCTGAGGGTGGTGGGGGAGGTGGAGTGGTGTGCAGGCAGACCTCAGGCTGCAGTAACTTCAACAAGATGGCAGGCACCAGGGTTAAGCAGGGCAATGATGTGCTGACAGATTTGACAGCAGTCTCCGTGGCTACAGAGCGGATCAGAGACTGGTAGGGAGTGAGAGAAGGGTGCAAAGGAAGCACAGCAGAAGAGAGTGACAGGAAACCAGCGGACACGATCACCCAAGCACTTCTGGTCATCCTCAGTCCCCAGACAAGAAGCGCATTCACAGCTGTTAGACTTATTTTAATGACACCCTAAAACTCAGGTGGAGGGCCAGCAGGGCCAAGGCTCAGCAGCTATAAAAGACGGGCCCTACACCTGCCCAAGGCAGGTCGTTGCAGAAAGGCACTCACAGTGGGGAGCTGGGCAGTTCAGGGCCCCGATATTTCTTCATATAAAATCAGGATGGCAGGGCCCCGAGGGTGAGGAACAAGAGAAACCATCCCAGATAGCTGAGAGGTTAAGGGAGTTGGGTGCTGGCAGTAAGAATGTGTTAAGTCAGTGCCCTAACCCAGCATGAACACACACTCTCACACACACACACACACACACACACACACACACACACATATATTCACTGTCTCTCTGCAGTCTGCAGCTGGGAGCTGGTGGGGGGAAGCCTCATGGTCAAAGCCCTTCTTCTCCTCCCTTCTAGCTGGTACGAAGTTGATAATCTGTGGGGGAAAAAAAATAAAAAGAACAGGAGCCACCTGAGAATTGAGAAAGGGGAGAGAGGGAGACTCCTCCAACATGGGTCCTGACACACAGAATTACCCCTGGAAGTATTTCACGCTTAGGGCTTATAGGCTTGGGACATAGCTCCAAAACGGATCCACTGCTCAGAAGTCCAGATGTGGCTGGACGGCAGGTCCTACCTATCACGTGTAAACTCCTGTTTTCTACCCCTACTATCACAAAAAAAATCCTGCTTAGATTAGGATGGGTCCCACACAGGAACCCATACGCAGGCAGCACATGGAGGTGCTAAGTGCCAACGTCTTGTTCAGATCTTACCATCACCGTGGAGAGGCCAGCCTCACCATTTTAAAGACGTATAAGCTAACGCCCAAGGAAGCATGGCTTACTTACAGGCTCAGTACTAGGCATGTTATGCTTTAGAACTGTCCCGAACACAGCATCGGTCCCCATTCCCCCCATCTCCTTAACTGCACTGCCCCAGAGAGCCCATTGATCTTACCGCCACTCTGGGTGATGTAACGGACCCAGGGCAGGGCCTGGTATCCACTTTTCTCGATGATCTTCATGTAACGCACCTGGAGGAAGATGAAAAGGAGTGGCTCAGCAGCAGAGCTTCCTCCGAGAATTCTGTGAGGAGCTGAGGCATGACTTTCGGGGAGAGCCCCTGCCTGTGTGTGCCAGTTCCTGGGTTCAAGCCCTAGTATTGGGGGGGGGGGTACTGGGGAGGGAAGGTGAGTAGAGTCAGAAGGAAAAGTGATGTTTTATACAGGACACACCTGAAGGTACAGGATGATACAAACTGGGCGTCTCCGGGCATGACATGGGCAAAGAGGAGGTGATCCAGACCAGGAGGATAAAGGTGTACAGACGGGAAGATACAGGACAGAGTTGGGGAACAGATCTAGAGAATAAAGAATACTCTGAGGGTAGAAGAGGGCAGAGGGGAACAGTGACTGAGCAAGGGGGTGGCAGGTGTGGGCGTGAGTGGTGCAGAGGGAGAAGCCCCAGCCTGAGAACAGAGGAGGCGACAATGGCAGGGAGAAAACAAAGAAACTGAGAACCTGGCACGGGGACACATGACTTTCCTCCCGGTGCTGGAATCGAGACAGAAGAAAGTCATAAATTCAAGGCTGGCCTGGGTTGTGCAGTCAGCTTGAGACCAGCCTGGACTTGGCTCACTTGGGTTACAAACAAAATAAAAATGCCTGGTGTGGTAGTGCACACCTCTGATCTCAGCGCTTGAGAAACAAAGGCAGGCAGGCAGGTCTCTAAGAGTTCAATGCCACCCTGGTCTACATAGCAAATTCCAAGTCAGCCTGGCTACAGTGAGATCCTGTCTCAAATCAGGGGGCTTGCACTGGCTGGTTTTGTATGTCAACTTGACACAAGTCAGAGTCATCAGAGAGAAAGGAGGCTCAGTTGAGGAAGTGCCTCCCTGAGATCCAGCTATAAGGCTTTTTCTCAATTAGCCGTCAGTGGGGGAGGGCCCAGCCCATGGTGGTGCCATCCCTGGGCTGGTGGTCCTGGGTTCTCTAAGAAAGGCTGAGCAAGCCATGGCGAGCAAGCTCCTCCATGGCCTCTGCATCAGCTCATGCTCCAGGATCCAGTCATACTTGAGTTTCTGTCCTGAGTTTTTCTCTTTTTTGTTTTTGTCTGTTTGTTTGTGTTTTTTGAGACAAGGTTTCTCTGTGTAGCCTTGGCTATCCTGGACTCGCTTTGTAGACCAGGCCGGTCTCAAAACTCACAGAGATCCACCTGCCTCAGCCTCCCTGAGTGCTGGGACTACCACCATACCCACTCTGAGTTCTTTCAGTGATGGAAGTGTGAGCCAAATAAGTCCTTTCCTCCCCAATTTGCTCTTTGGCCATGGTGTTTTGTCACAGCAATAGAAACCCTAACTAAGACAGAGCTGGAGAGATGGCTCAGTGGTTAAGAGCTCTGGCTACTCTTCCAGGGGAGCTGGGTTAGAGTTCCAGCATCCACATGGTGGATGGCAACCTCCTGTCACTCCAGTTCTAGGGGACCTGACATCCTCTTCTGACCTTCACAGGTACTGCACACACACAGTACAAAGACATATATGCAGGCAATACACATAACATAAATAAAAGCTCAGGTGAATAAATAAGATGTGAGAAGCCAGGAGGGAGGGCAGCAGAGAACCTCCCCGCCCTGTTCCTCACCTGGATGCCAGAAACAGTGAAGTAGGGGATCTCAAACTTGACCCCGATGGGCGGCCGGCCCTCCACCTCCTCAGTCTCCACGCTGGGGAGGCCAAAGTGGGCGCGCATCAAGTACTCCTTGCCCCCCTGTGAACACACAGAGGCTTCAGACTCTCGGGGTGGCCCCTCTGTCTCTTAGGCCACCCTCACAGCAGCGTACCTGTCCATTGCACAGACTTCAAAGTCAAGAATGCTGGCTGAGACTCATAGGAAAAGCCTGTGCTTGTACAAGCAAGGAAAGGGTGCTAACTCTTGTTCCTCAGTCTGGAGGAGACAGACAGACAGAAACACACACACACATACACACAAAGTGACAATAAAATAGAGCCACCAGTGTTCCAAGAATGTGGAGAATGTGGGTCCTATCTGGACAGTGGGACACACACACCTTTAATCCCAGCATTTGGGAGGCAGAGGCAGGTAGATCTTTAGGAGTTCGAGACTAGTCATGGCTACACAGTAAAAGACCCTGTCTAAAAACTAACAAGAACAAAAAGAATTGCGTCAATCGTAATCCATCCCATTTCACAGATGAGCTGAGTCTATAAAGGAGAAACCAGAAACGAAGGCTGTATTCCTGAAGGACTGGCGGGGGGGAGGTATGGTTTCAAGAGGCCTCAGTGTCCCCTCTTTGGTTTGGATAGGCTTGGGTTTTTCTGACAGGGTTTAATGTAGCCTAGGCTAGACTGGAAGTAGTCATGTCAGCATTCTTTATCTTTATCTGAATTCTTTATCCTCCTGCCTCTGCCTCCCAAGTGGGAGATGGACAGCCATGGCCACCATATCAAGTGTGTGCCAATCAGAACACAGACAGCCTGGGTTCCCCCTTCGTCAGCCCCCATTGATAGCCACATGCATGGCAATGAGGTTCTCTGAGATATTCTTCACCTTGCCCTCATGTGGCCCAGGCAAGCCCCCCCACTACCGCTCAAGTCCCCTTTCACCCCAGGCCCCCTCTCCCAGGACTCACAGGGAAGGACTTGATACTCCAGATGACAACATTCTTCTCAGGCACATACTTCGCACTGCCTACGCTGGTCTTGAAGCGTGGGGAATCTGCATCACTAGGTACGGGCACGGAGATCTCCACACCATTGGCCACCGATTGCTTCTTAAACTGACCCTTGGCCTGCCAGAAGAGAGAAGGAGGCAAAAAGAATTCACACCCACGCAAGGCTTAGTGGGGGATGCTTGTGATCCCAGCTGCTCTGGAGGCTGAAATAGGGGATCTCAGGTCCAACGCCGGCCTGCACTATAGAGACAGCACTGCAGGGCCGGCCTGCGCAACTAAGTGAGACCCTTTTTGAAAATGCAAATTAGATTAAATTAAGGCTGGGAAAGCCAGGAATGGTGGTGCATGCCCGTCATTCCAGCCCTTGGGGAGCAGAGACAGGTGGATCTCTGTGAGTTTGAGGCCAGCCTGATATATAAAGTGAGTCCAGAACAGTCAAGGCTACACAAAGAAACCCTGTCTCGAAAAACAAACAAACAAAAGGAGGCTGAGAATAGCGTGATGGCTAGCTTACAGGAGGTATGCTAGCAGGTAAGAGCACTTGCTGACTGGCTGGAGAAGCTGGGACCCACGTGGTAGAGAGAGAACCAACTCCCATAAACTATTCTCTGACCTCCATTACATGTGCCTACACACATACATACCCATGCACACAGTAAAATGTGGCTGGGTGTGGTGGTGTGTGCCTTTAATTCTAGCACTTGGGAGGCAGAGCAGCCGGATATCTGAGTTTGAGGCCAGCCTGGTCTTCAGAGTTCCAGGATGGTCAGGGCTACACAGAAAAACACTGTCTTGAAACCAAGACCACCCCCAATTAAATTAATTAAATTAAAATGTAATAAAAATAAATAATAGACGCGTGGGGCGGCACATGGCTTTGACTCCAGAACTTGGGAGGCAGAGGCAGATTGATCTCTGTGGGTTTTCAAGGCCAGCCTTTGGGGAGAGGTCAGAGGTTTGGGAGGGAACAAGAGGGTGATGAGGGGGTGGAGATGATACGTCATGTGAATTATGAAAATGTCATTGTAATATATGATTGATATATATTAATATAGGGGCTGGTGAGATGGTTCAGTGGGAAAAGGCACTTGCCACCAAGCCTGAGAACCTGAGTTAAATCCCAGGACCCACATAATAGAGGAGAACTGACTCCCTCAAATTGTACCCTGACATCAACACACACACACACACACACACACACGAATAAACATATAAATGTGTAACTTTTTTTTAAAAGTGTGCATGCTAATAAACTGTTTTAAAGCCGAGATCTTGCTTAAAAAAAAAATTAGATCTGGAGAGACGGGTGAGAGGTGAACGTTCCAGTTTGATTCTCGGTGTCCACACGGCAGCTTCCAACCACCCATGACTAGTTCTAGGGGATGCAATGCCCTCTTCTGGCCTCTGTGGGCAGTAGGCAAGCAAGTCTTGCACATCAGACACACACGCAGGCTAAACAGCCGCACACACAAATTTAAGGGAGGGGGGGACTTAAAAACAAACAGAAACCTGAATGCCCAACCAGGAGCCCTGCTGGTCAGAAGGTGCTGTGGGGCCAGCACTGAGAAAGCCTTCCCCTGGGACTCACCTTCACCATGATCTCCACGCGGCTATGGGAGAATTTCTCAATGACTGACTCAATCCAGATCAGGGGTTTGACCTGCATGCAGAAGAGAAGGCCATTCTCACTGACTCTGACACCAGCCCCCCGGTCCACTCCCTCCCGCTTCCTTTGTGCTGGGCCGGGCCATGGCTCACCTGGGTGCTGAGGCGGTAGGACATGAGTTCAAAGTCCCCATCCGGGGGTATGAAGGAGATGGTGCGGTCATTGTCAAAGCGTGAGAGCCTCACGCACTGGTGGAATTTCACATCTTCCAGTTCCACGGACTTGTTCTTGCTGCCTGAAACTCGGGAGTGGAGCGAGCAGAATGACCCTGGGGCTGAGGAGGGGCCCTGCCTGCTCCACCACCCCTACTGACCACTACCTTCTCCAGGTATGCAGAGAAGGAAGCCTAGGGCCTGGACTGAGGGCGGGGGAGCTGAAACAAACCCAGTTTGCCTCCCATTTCTAAGCTTCTGTTTTCTATTTTCATTTCATTTCATTTGGAGTTTATTTTTCTAAAACTTTTATAGAATTTTTTTTTTTTTTTTTTTTTTTTTTACATTTTGAGTTTTTGAAACAGTCTGTCTAACATAGCCTTGGCTATCCTAGAATTCCATGTGTAGAGCACGCTGGCTTCCAACTCACAGAGAACTGCCTGCCTGTTTCCCAAATGCCAGGATTAAAAGCATGAGCCACCATACCCAGCACAAATCTTAGGGTTTTGTTTTTTTCTGTGTAACCTTGCCTGTCCTGGACTGTCTTTGTAGACCTGGCTGGTCTCAAACTCATAGCAATCAAATACCTCTGCCTCCCTGAGGGCTGGGATCAAAGGTGCGCGCCACCACACATGCTAGTGTTTGTAATTAGATAGAGGTCTGGGTGTTTGGGTCACTGCATGTGCATGCACGTCCTGACGCTCACAGAGGCCAGAACATGGTGTCAGATTTCCTGGAGCTGAGTTGAGCCACCAGCCGTAGGTGCTGGGAGCTGAACTTCGGTTCTCTGCAGGAAGAAGAAATACCCTGAGCCACTGGGCTGCCTTCAGGACCTAGTTTTCCCTTTGTGTGCATGTGTGTGTTGTGAGCATATCTGCACGTATACGCGCACTAAAGGGTTCACCGTGTGCGCGGAGGAACCTGAGGGTAGTCACTGCCTACCTTCTCTAAATCATCAGTACACTTATTTCACTTGGGAGGTAGAGCATGCCTGCCAGGCGCATGTGTCAGAGGACAACTTGTAGGAGTCGGCGCGCTCTATTTCCGTGGGTCCTGGGGATTGAACTCAGGCTGGCAGGCTTGCTGGCTCAGTGGTTAGGAGCACTGGCTGCTCTTGTGGAGGATCTAGGCTCAGTTCCCAGCTCCTATATGGGGGCTGACAACCATCCAGCCCAGTCCCAGGGAATCTAACACCCTTTTCTGGCTTCTGTGGGCACCGCACACACATGGTACATACAGGCAGAATACCTACACATGATAGATAGATAGATAGATAGATAGATAGATAGATAGATAGATAGATAGATAGATAGATGATAGATAGATAGGCTGGGCAGTGGTGGCACACGCCTGTAATCCCAGTGCTTAGGAGGCAGGGGCAGGCGGAACTCTGTGGGTTTGAGGCCAGCTTGGTCTATAGAGCAAGCTCCAGGATGGGCAGGGTCACACAGGAAGAAACCCTGCACCACCACAGCAGACTGTATGCCTGCTTTTTCCATGTGTTCTGGGGATCTGAACTCGGGTCTTCATATTGCTGTGTAAGTGATTTGCTGGCTGAGCCACCTCTTCAGCAGCTCTTCTCTTCTGTTTTTGTTTGGGCTGGGCCTGCTTTCCTTTCCTTTGTTTTGGTGTGATCTTTTGAGATAGGATCTTATGCAAGCCAGGGTGGCCTAAAACTTACTAAGTAACTGAGGATGACTGAACTCCTGCTTCTCCCTCCCAGGCTCTGGAACCACCTGCATGTAACTCGATGCTTGCCATCTGTCTGGTGTTTGTTTGTTTGTTTGTTTGTTTGGCTTTGTGTTACTGTGTGTGTCCATGTGTGTATATGTGCACAGGCGTGTATGGCCATCAGAGGACAGTCTGTCAGGTGTCTCCAAGTGTCATCCACCTGTTTTTTGGTTTGCTTGTTTTTTCCTTTTTCTTTACTGAGATAGCATTCCTCCTTTGGCCTGGAAGTTGCTGATTAGGCTGGGCTGGGCCCCTCAGAATTCCTAGCGCCCCACTTGTCTCTGCCTCCTTCTCTAAGATACTCCCACTAACTTAAGGAGAAAATGCCCTTGGACTCCTAATCTTCCCACCTCAGCATTCAGAGTGCTGAGATTACAGGCCCAGACTACTATGCCTGCCTCTCTCGAGAGGTTTAAATACGATTAACCTGTCTCCTCCCACTACAATGCCAAGGCCAGACATGGGCTTGATCTGCAGCTGGCTCTCATCAACAAAGAAAGCAATCTTCAGGTGAGCTTTGCTGCTGGGATGGAGGACTAGTCATCAGGCCTGTGAACACTTATCTCATAACTGGCTGTGGTCCAGGAGGCCTAAGGTTGCTTCCTAGCCCATCCCCAGGAAAGGCTCCCCCCAATCTTACGGCCAGTAAGCTCAAAGAGCACTCGGTCATTGAGGCCCAGCCGCAGCTCTGGCATCCCAGACAGAAACACCTTCAGCTTGATGGTGCCCACAATCTCGCTGAGCAAGACACTTCCATTAGCGTTGACCTGTGAAGGGGGTGTCCCAATGTGGGATGTGAACAGTCACAGAGTCCCTTCTCCTGCCCTGGGGACATGAGGCATGGGACTCACCAGGAGGTTAACGGACTCTATGACATCAATGAAGACCTCGTTCTTTTTGTACTTGATTCCCTCAGAGCGCCACGACACAGCATTGGTAACTGTGGGTGGCACTCGAGACTTGCCCGTTTCCAGCTTGTTGCCCTGCTGTGTGATGTACCTGTTGGGAAGAGCGGGGAGTTAATGGCAGGGACCCCTCAGAGGGACCTCCAGCTCCCTGCCCTTCCCCTGTGCTCACTCCTGCAGGATCTTGCTGTCCGTGGTCTGTGGAAAGCCGAAGTCCATGAGCTCATCCAGCAGCTCATACACAATGACAAAGTTGTCTCGGATGCTCTCCTCCTCCAGCTCCTTAAAATACTCACAGAAGACCTGGGCATGGGGCCCCAGGGACAGACATCATGTAAGCTGGGAGCACACTCAGCCAGCCAGGAAGCAATTATAGATGGCCTACTCTGTGCCTGGGCTGCAAGCAAAGAGACTGGGTCTCTCGTGGATCTAGCTAGCTAGCTAGCTAGCTAGCTATCATATAGCATTCTGCCTGTATGTGTGCCTGCACACCAAAAGAGGGCACCAGATCTCACTATAGATGGATCTGAGCCACCATGTGGTTGCTGGGAATTGAACTCGGGACCTTTAGAAGAACAACAGCTAGTGCTCTTAACCTCCGAGCCAAAATGAGGAAAAGGAACAGGTAATGGAATGTGCAGGTGGGGAGAAGGAAACAACAGTTATAAACCTATACTTTAAAGAATCTGGAAAGACAGGTAGAGGAGGGTAAAATGACTTTTCTGGGTGTGGATATGACTCAGGGGTTGGAGGAAACCAGCACCTCCTTTGTAGTAGATCAGGACTAAGCCGACCCCACCCCCTCACTGGGGGATTCTAGGCAGGGTTTTGCTGAGGAGCCACGCTGTTGCACTGTTCACACTGTGAACTCAGAGATTGTGTACTGGAAAAATGTGTTTCTAGTTGTGGCGTGTCCCAACCCTAGCACACACCTCTAATCTAACACTTTCTGTAAACAGGATTAAATGAAGTCAACCACAGGCCAAGAGGTAGAGCAAGCAACCAGCTGACAGAGAGTACGCACAGGAAAAAAACCACAGAGGATGAGAGGAAGTCCGGAGGACGGACAGAGAGATGCACAGGAATAGACAGGAGGGGATTCAGTTTGAAGGGTTTTTAAGGCGGCATGGAGAAAGAGAAGGGGCTTTTCTTGTACATCAGCTGAATAGGAAGGTCAGCGGGATGCTTTCTCTACCTCTCTGAGCTAGCAGGCTTTCACCCAGCATCTGGCTGAGTCTTTACGGCAAAATTAAACATTTGGGATTTTGTTTAAAAGCAATACTTTGTTTTTTGAGACAGGTCCTGGCTGTGGAGCTTAGGTTGGCCATGAACTTTCTATCCTCTTGCTGTAGCCTTCAAAGATGTAGAATGAGAGATCTGATCCATCTTGCTCTCCCTTTAAAAAAAAAATGTGCGGAGGCCAAGTTTGGTGGCTCATATCTTTAATCTAAGCACTCACGAGGCAGACAGATACAAGTGGGTCTTGCTGAGTTCAAGGCCAACCTATTCTACACAGTGAGTTCCAGGACAGCCAGGACTTGTCTCAACCAACGAAAGAAAGCAAACAACAACAAAAAAGTGTGGTGCTGGAGGGATAACTCAGTGGGTAAGAACCACAGAGGACCTGTGGCCCACATCCAGTTCCCAGCACCAAAATGGCGGCTCACAACTGTCTGTAACTCCAGTCCCAGGAGACCCAACATTCTGCTCTGGCCTCTGTGGCCAGAGCATGAAGTACATAGACATACATGCAGGCAAAACAGCCATATACATAAAATAAAAAAATAAGCAAACATTTAACAGAGTGTATGTCTTAGCTTTTCCGTTTACTGTGTCTCCTTACTGGGGACACTGCCTTTGTAGTACTTCCTCTCCAAGGTCAGCGCCTGGCGGGGTGAGCACACGAAGACGGACAGACCAGCCAGCCAATGAGAGCCCAGTACCTACCTCCACAGTCTTGTACAGGAAGGAGTACACCAGGGAGGCATTGGCGTTCTTCAGCGTGGTGGCCACCACTGGCGCAGTAAGGTTAAGGAAGAAATGCCATTTTCAAGGGAGGGCTGGTACATGTCCCCCGCTGCCCCCCCCCCCCCATTCCTGCAAGCCCTTACGGCATGCACAGCCTGAGTTAAGGCGCATGCTCTCAGGGCTATGCCGCCCGGGTGGAGATCTTGGCACTCCTGACCGGCGAGGGCTGGATGCGGTAGAGGTTGCTGTGCTTGATCCACAAGAAGTGCACACGGCCGTGGCTCAGCAGCGGGGCCAGCATGCCCTCCTCCTCTCGCTGCATGAGCAGCGGCATGAAGTGGTCAATCTCCGTCATGGGCACATCGCCTTTGTAGTTTCGGCTAATCAGAGGCTAAGGGCAGGTAGAGAGGACTCAGTCGCCACCAGTACCCTGACCTAGGGTACAAGGGCCTTAGGACATCTAATTTTCTTCTTTCCAACTCTCCTTTTCTCCCCATACACACTGGCCTCTCTTTTGGTTTATGGAGGAGATGGTAAGATAGTACCTTGTGTAACACAGGCTGGCCTTGAATCCAGATGTAACAGAAGATGACCATGAACTCCTGACCCTTCTGCATTCACCCTTGATAGAGCTACAGTTACAAACCTTCTACCAAGCAAACTATATCCCCAGCCTGTCTTTCCTTTTCTTATTTATTAATTTAGACACATTTTCCAGTGCTCGCCAGTTTTGTCTGAAACTCTCCATCCTCCTGCCTCAGTTTCTAGAGTGCTGGGATGACAGGTATTTGCCACCATGTCATGCTCCATGTCTAATTCCCACCAGACATTTTTTTTTTTTTTTCAAGAGCTGAGCACGGAACCCAGGGCCTTGTGCTTGCTAGGCAAGTGCTCCACCACTGAACTAAATCCCCCACTGCCCTCCCCCAACTTATCTGACGAGCCTAGATAAGACTTTAGCTCTGCACACCTCCGTTTTTATGCATGTTATGTGGAAACTCGATACCCACAACTAAAAGCATCCTGGGTGCATACGGAACCCCATCAATTTTCTACTAATGAGTGTTATGCCAGGGATGGGCTTGGGAGGGGGAGGATGGAGGATCAAAAGTGCAAGGCCATCCTCAGCTACATAGTAAGTTCAAAGCCAGCCTAGACTGCATGAGATGGTCCCAAAGAAAGAAGGAAAGGAAGGAAGGAAGGAAGGAAGGAAGGAAGGAAGGAAGGAAGGAAGGAAGGAAGACGATGCCGGGCTAGAGTGCAGGAGAGGACATGCCTACCAGGCATGAGGTCCTTGGTTTCATTCTCAGCACTGCAGAAGTTAGACAAACATCAGCCAGTAAGACTGGATGTCGGAGCCTTGTCTTACCAAGGGCCTGCCATCCCAGCTATGAGGGAGGCTGACACAGGAGAGTGGCAAGTTCAAAGCCTACCTAAGAAGCAGAGTAAATTTGAAGCAGGCCTGGGTAACGCCACCAGATACTATTTCAAAATAAAGAGTAGACAGGGGACTGTAAGAGAGCTCAGTGCTCGAAGGGTCTCGCCACCGAGGCTGACGGTCTGAGGTAGAGATCCTCACACCCACATGGGCGAAGGACAGAACAGATTCTCACATATGCAAAGCAATTAAATAAATGTAATTTTTAACGTGTGAAGATGAGGTTGTGATTTAGTGGTAGTGTCCTGGCTCAGCTCCCACACCCTCCACTGAGGAGGAAGAGGAGGAGGAGGGGCCTTTGCTAAGGAGTTCAGTGTCCACCTTAGCTTTGAGGCAGGTGTCTTTGTCTCCATTTTCTAGGCTGAAGGAGCCGAGGTTTTAAACTATGTCCACAAAAAGCAGACAAGTGGAAGTGAACCACCCCTCTTGAGCTGTCTTGCTATTGTAGCGCAGACCGGCCTTGAACTCCTGGGCTCAGGTCATCCTTTCTGTGGCAGCTTCCAGAGTAGCTAGGACGACAGGTGTGTGGTACAACACCTGGCTCCACTGTCCTTATCGTTTGCTTGTTTCCACATGCACTACATTTTCTGTGTGTGCACGCTGTGTGTGAGAGGGTGATGGTCCATGGCTATGTGGTCAGAGAACTTTGCTAGGATGCCTTCTTTCCCCTTTACGTGGGTTTGGAGCTTAAGCTCAGGACGCCCAGCTTGGGCAGCCACTGCCTGGACTCGTTGAGCCTGTTTGGTTTTTGAGGCAATGCGTTATGTAGCCCAGGCCTGATTCAAACTCCCTGGGTCTCCTTCTGCCTCCACCTCCGAAGTGCTGGAATTATGGCTGTTTAGGCGGTACTTTGGGATCAAACCTAGATCCCAAAGGCCAGAGGGCTCACAACTGAGGCACATGCCCAGCCCTGTTGTTATATTCCAGGGCTCATGTTTTCATCTCTGCTGCTGTGATTGTCACTGGAGAAGGGTCAGGCGGCCTGCAAGAATAGTGTCGCCCTCCTTCTCCAGAGAGTTCCACTTTGTGCACTTGAGCTTCGGGGTTTGCAGAAGGGTTTCGCTCACTGGTACAGGGCGCTCAGATGGTGGGGATCTTTCTTATTCCCATATTACCTACACGGAAACGGGGGCTCAGAGAGGTGGAGCCCCTTGCCGCTGACACCGGGTGGAGAGGGCGGGTCCCCAGCTCCGAGGGCTGCGCCCTGAACCCGCGACCTCGCCAGGCGTCCCTCGACCCCTGCCTCACCTTGCCCTTGACGTCCAGAATGAAGACTGCAGAGGCCGACATGGTGGCAGCCAGTCAAGCTGGGAGGCGGGTGCAAGCGGCAGAGGCGGCAGCGCTGCTTCCTTCTTCCTGCGGAAGCGCCTTCGCCCAGGTGAGCCTCCAGGTGAGCGCGTCTTAAAGGGGAGGCCGCCAGGTGAGCGCGTCTTAAAGGGGAGGCCGCCAGGTGGGCGGTGTGGGCGACCGCAAAAGCCGAGGGTGCTTCAGGAGCTGGGAAAGGCAGAACCGAAGGTGTGATAGCTTCCCTGGGTGGACGGTGAGACGCCAGGACATTTATCCACTGATTCTTCTTCTCGCGGGCTCGCTCGCCGCCGTGCATCCGAGTGTCTGCGTCTATTCCTTCACCCCCTCTTCCGCCCACCCCTGTATCCATCCCCGCCTCCACTCACCTACCTACCCATCCATTTATCAGCCCCTCCCACATTCACACAAACCTTCACATCAACGTCCGTCAACCCACCCACCCACGATCCATCTATCCATCCACCGGGGCTGCGTCTCTAGCTTCTCTCTCCCACACACAGCAGTATCAATAGACCTGGCTCTGTTCTGTCCGTGACCCGCTGCCCACCACTACAGGTCAGGATTGGTAGCCCTCTCACGCACACTATCCACTTTACTACTCTGTTTAATTGTTGTTGTTTCGAAACAGGCTTTCTCTGTGTAGCCCTGGCGGTCCTAGAACTTGCTCTGCAGACCAGGCTGGCCTCACACTTAAGAGATCCACCTACATCTGCCTCCCGAGTGCGGGGATTAAAGGCACCACCATGCTTAGCCTGTTTTTGTTTGTTTGTTCTTGATGATGATGATGATTATTAATTCTCTTAAAAATAACCCAGGCTGGTCTGGAGCTCATTATACGGCCCAGACTGGTTTTCAAGTACAGAGATTACAGTCCTGAGCCACCATGCCTGACTTTGGTTTTTTGTTTGTTTGTTTGTTTGTTTGTTTTTTCTAAATTTATTATTTTTTTAATAGCCAAGGCTAGCCTTAAGCTCAAGATCATCTGTCTCTACCTTCTCATTGCTGGGATACCGTTTTGCGGAGGGTGATGGGGAAAAACACAAAAACAAAACCACTCCAAACCTCAGCAGAGCCGTCTGTGTGGCGCTCGGCTGTGGAAGAAACGTTTACTGCATGGCTGCCAGGGGGCGACATAAGCCCGCTCAGGCCTCGTTGCCGCCTCAGACCTTTACCGGTCCAGGAGTTCCAAGGCTGAGGCAGAGCGCCTGTATGGAAAGCGTATCAGCCACCACCCGGAGGACCGGAGGACGCCGAGCGGCGCAGCGTTCGGGCCACACAGCCGGGTTATCGAGCCAGGGTTCTGTTGTTCCGGTTGTTTTTTTCCTGGGCAGTGGAACTCCCCACCTTTGCGTGTGCCGGGCAAGCGCTGTCCCAGTTACGCTCCCAGCCCTTAAAATGTTTTTGTTGGGCGCCTCCACGGATAGCACAGGCTAAATCCCCAACTCTTCCACCTCTCCTTGCTAGTTGCAACATCTTCAGGCTTGCCATAAATACCTTCCAAGAAGAAATCCTACAGACAACACACACTTTTTTTTTTTTTTTTTTTTTTTTTTTTTCCAAAGACCCCGTCTAGCCCGGGACTTCCTATTCAGCCAAGGATCACTTTAAACTCCCCACCTTCTAAACTCCAGGGTGACATCCATACCCCACCACAGCCCATTGATGGGGTGCAGTGGTGCGAACCTGGGGCCGTGTGTATGCTAGGCAAGCGTTCCACCAGCTAAGCTACAGCCCCCATCTTCTGCATAAGCCTTTGAGGGAAATGGAGAGTTGTTGTTATCTTCCAGTGACAGATGGGGAGACTCAAGTTTGACCCCATAAGGGTAAAGTCGCTCAACAGTTGTGTTTATTTGATTTTGTTACTAGTGTTGTTATATAGCCCAAGACAGCCTGGAAATCATTATCCTCCTGCCTCAGTGCTGGGGGAATCTCAGGAATGCCCAATCATATCCAGTTAGTTTGGTGCTGGGGGTGGAACCCAGGGTTTCTTGCATGCTAGGTCCATGCTCTCCTAGCTGATTTCCATCTCTAAGCTTTTAGGTCGCCTCAGGAGAAGGATCATCAGCTGACTCAGGGCAGCTGGGAATCACCTCACTGTGCTGGGGCAGATCTCTGGGGCTCCCTTGCTTGCAAGGCCACTGTAACACACACACACACACACACACACACACACACACACACACACACACACGGTCTCAAAACTCAAGGTGTGAAGCCAGGCACAGTGGTGCATGCCTATAATCCCAATCCCAGCACTGGGAGAGGCAGAGGTAGGCAGATCTGTTTGAGGACAGCCTGTTCTACAGAGTGAATCCAGGACAGACAAGGCCACAGAGAGAAACCCTGTCTCAGAAAAAAACAAAACCAACAAGCTGTAGAGCCCCCAGAGCCAGGCTGGTGGCCCAAGCTTTCAATCCCAGCATGCTCCTGGCAGAGGCAGGGAGCTCTCCATAGAGAGTTCCAGCAGAGCCAGGGCTACACACTGTCACACTGCTTAAAAGCAAAACACAACAAAAAACAATGTGTGTGTGTGACTGCAAAGTGTGTGGGGGGGTGTCAGCGAAATGGCTCAAAAGTGCTTGCCTAAGGACCCCAGTCTAAACTCCAGGTCCCACATGATTGACGGGAGAGAACTGACTCCTGCCAGTTGTCCTCTGACCTCCACACATATACACAAAACATAAACATAATTTTAAAGGAAGTTGGGTAGCTCCCGAGGAAGGGAGCACATCTGAAGTTGTCCTCCGGCCTCCAGACCTGACTGTGCATAGCACAATACCAGTAACCCTCTCCTGGGGCCTGAGATGATTCCCATGGTAAATGGAGCTCAGAAGCCTGGGCCCAGCGCCCTGGAATCTGAAACCCAAGGCCTATTTAGCTAAAAAATTCATGAGACTGAGCGCCTCAGTCAGGGCAGAGAACAAACTCGCTCTGTCTCAGCCAGCCCAGCCCAGCCTGGCCTAGCCCAGCCCACTGTGGCTCAGTAACCACCACCATCCTCCAGAGGTGGTGCCTCTGTCCCAGTTTGTCCTAAATATTCCATCCTTCTCCCCACCCCTGCTCCTCTCCCCACCAAACCCCACCCCACCCCAGCCCTAGCTTCTGCTCATTAGCCACCTTCTCTTTTCCTCCCTCTAAAGAAATCTAACTCAGTGATGATGACCCTCTCCCTCTCACACCTATGGCTCTTAACCCAGCTCAGTCAGATTCCTGCTGGCCTCAGGTTTCACTCCACAAGGGCCTTAGACTTAGTGATTTCACTCCTCTTCCTGCCTCTTACCCAGCATTGCAAAATTCTCACCATCATGTTTTCTTTGTGTCCTTCTTTCTCTGTGGAGAGGTCCCTCTGACTTCCCTCTTCCTGCCCTGGGCAGGGCCCTCCCTCCTCTGGGTTTTCCCATGCCCAGCAAGCCCCCTGCACAATTGGCTTGTAACTCTGCGTTTTGTTGATATTTGTTTGTTTGGGTTGGCAGGGTTTCTCTGTGTAGCCTTGGCTGTCCTAGACTCCCTTTGTAGACCAGGCTGGCCTGACCTCATACAGATCCACCTATCTCTGCCTAGTGAGTGCTGGAATTAAAGGAGTGTGTCACCACTGCCTGCCTTGTTGATTTTCTTTTAAGATTTTATTTATTTATTTTATGTATATGAGTGCTCTATCTGCATGGACACCAGATCACAGGACACCAGATCACAGGACACCAGATCTCACTATAGATGGTTGTGAGTCACCATGTGGTTGCTCAGGAATTGAACTCAGGACCTCTGGGAAGATCAGCCATGCTCTTAACCGCTGAGCCATCTCTCCAGCCCTTGTTGATGTTTTAATATGGGGTCTTCAGGTAACCCAGACTGACCTTGAACTCCTGATCCTCCGTTTCCACCTGCTGAGTGTGGGAAGACAACCTGCCACACTAGACTTGTATAGTGTATTTTAATATCTATTTTAAATCATTTACATATTTTTCACTTATTTATGTTCTTATTCATGTGTGTGTTGGGGGGGATGGTGCCTGTGCCAGGGCACAACTATGAAGATCGGGGGAGGGGAGCAACTTGAAGAACTTGGTTCTCCTCCCACCAGGTGGGGCTCAGGGATCAGACCCTGGTGATCAGGCATCCCTCAAGCAGCTCTCTTTACCGGTGGAGCCCCGTTTCACCCCTATTTTAAGACTTTTCTGGTAGAGGAATGGAGAGAACCCTTGGCTGATGAAGTGCTGGCCGTGCAAGCCTGAGGACCTGAGCTTGGAGCTCCAGCAGCCACAGAGAAAGACAGTGCAGCAGGGTGGGCAGCTGGAGCTGGCTGGCCTGCCAGTGTAGCTAAACTGGTGAGTTCAAGGTTCAGTGAGAGACCCTGTCTCAAAATCAGTGTAAAGAGCTGTTCTAACCCCCCCACCCCCCACCCCCCACACAAAAGGTACTTGTTTTTTTAATTGTTTTTTTTCGTTTGTTTGTTTTTCCAGACAGGGTTTCTCTGTGTGGCCCTAGCTGTCCTAGAACTCTCACTGTAGACCAGGCTAGCCTCAAACTCACAAAGATCTTCCTGCCTCTGCCTTCCAAGTGCTGAGATTAAAGGCATGTGCCACCCTCCCTGGCTTGTTGTTATTGTTTTAAGACAGGGTCTTATTTTATAGCTCTGGCTGGTCTGGAACTCGTTATGCAGACCAGGGTGGCCTTGAACTCAGAGAGATCTCCTTACCTCTTGATCCTGAGTGCTAGGATTAAAGTTGTGCTTCCAGCAAAAATGGAATAAATCATTTTAAAAAGCCTCCTTTGCGCCTGCGATGCCTGGTTCCTGTCTCTCTGAAAACCATTATTTGTTCATGTCTTTTATGAACAAATTCAGTTCCTCTTCACCCACCCCCACCCCCACCCCCAATGCCATATGGGACTAAAAGGCTAAATATATTTTGCCTAAAAAAATATGCCCCAGGTGCCTGGTAGTAGAACTTTGGAGAGAATGTGGGCTTCCCAGTTCCGCTTCAAGGGCTCAAGTCTTTGCTCTTCCCCATGCTCACTGTGTGGCAGTGGGGAAGTTACTTAACCTCTCTGAGT